CCAGGAGGTGTCCTGTCTGCTGTGAAATTCTTGACCCCCTCGGAATTGTTAGGCTAGAAGGAGGGGGATACAGAAGTGAGTACAAATTGGCTTTTCCAGAGATGGCCTGGGACATGGGATATTTAACCCCTCTGTGTTTTCATCCGCACCTGATCAAGCCCACCAGGGCAGAATGGACTTTAAGGGAGAAACAGTCTTGGACCATGTGATGTTCTGGTTCAGCTGTGCTGACTGGCAGGTGAAGACACGCCGATCCCCCTTCTCCCTCTGGGATCTGGCAGGTAAGGCTCTTCTCACCACAATTAGGAAGGAGGCAGAATGGCAATTTAAGTGTCACTGAGTGGAAATATCAGAAGTACATAGGGTACTGAGAACTTCGTAGACAGAACAAAAAGGAAAAGTAGAAGAAGGTCTGAGAAGGTAAGCAAGATGGGAGGAAGTGAATCTAAGGCAACTGTATTGGAGTGAAAAATTTAAAGAAGGGATTAGGAGGAGACTATGGGGTGAAGATGAAGCCTAACTGCCTCCACATACTCTGTGAGGTCGAATGGACCCCTATGGGAGCAGGATGGCCACCAGAGAACACCGTGAACTTAAAAACAGTGGAAGCAGTCTACACAGTAGTCACAGGAGAGCCAGGACACCTGGATCAATATCCATCTATTGACTCATGGCTAGGCTTAGCTTGAGACCCTCCTACTTGGACAAGGTTCTGTATCCAGAAGGGAAAGGGAAAACTATTAATGGCACAAAAATTGACTGATGATAAAAAAGGAAATTCTACAGGATTATAACAAATGGACTGGCTTTCATAGCTGATTTAGTACAACAAGTAAGCAGAACTTCAAACATCAAATGGAAACTACACACTGCATATAGGCCCCAGAGTTCTGGGGTGGTGGAATGGACCAACTGGACACGTAAAGAGACTCTCCTTTATGTGGATCATAGAGACTGACTGTTCCTGGGTGGACTTGTTTCTGATGGCTCTGCTCAGACTCAGGATGACCTCACAGTCCCATGGCTCGTCCCCATAGGAAATTGTGTTGGGGAGGCCCCCTTCCATAATAGAACAGGTGTCGAGGGGCTGAGATTTCACAGCAGATGGAACAGCCGGGTCAGGTGATAAATCAGGGAACTCAGTTTGTACAAAAAGGGTGCCATTCCCCCTTGGGGAGCAGATTCACAAATCTCTACCCGGGCATCAGATGTGGTCAAGGACTGGAAACACGACTCCTTGGCCCCACATTGGAAGGGTCCATATACTGTTGTTCTAACCAGCCCTACGGCAGTTAAAGTTGCAGGTGTCACTCCCTGGATCCACCACATGAGGGTGAAGAGAGCATACCACGCAGACCTGGAGGACGCCAGTGGGCTGCACGGAGGGACCCCACTGATACCCGAGAGACTAAGATCATCCTCAGGAAGAAGAAGGAAAAGAAGATCCTGGATGAGCCCCTTCAGGATGAAGCCACATAATCAACTCCTGCTGCTTGGCCTCATCAACGTGATTTTGAATTTAACTTCCGTTTCAACTCAGGACAATGTTTTCATCTCATGGGCACATTCCTACACAGACTTCCACAACACCTCCAACTGCTGGGTGAACCCAGTGGCTTTGTGGGCCTAAACTTTGGCCTTGGTTACCAATTGGCTGGGTAAGCTGCTGCACACTGGGATTCCCTTTTGCCCATGGCAGCATAAAGCCTAACCTACAACAAGCCCTGGTAAATCTACCTTATTTACATGCTAGGTGGACAAGGTCTGTGTTTCAATGGTATGAGTATATTGCTGTCTTATTCATACCTTCTATCAGGACAACAGATATTATGATTAAAGTAGAGGCCTTGACTAATTTCACAAAACAGGCCCTCTTATTTGGTGCTAAATCCATCCAAGCCTTAAGTGAAGAACAAATCTAAATGAGGAAAGTGGTAATTCAAAATAGAACGGCTTTGGACATGCTCACAGATGCTCAAGGAGAGACCTGTGCTATAATTAAGGTTGAATATAGTATATATATATATATATATATATATATAGTACTCTCTAGAGGCACAACAGATATTATGATGAAAGTAGAGGCCTTGACTAATTTCACAAACAGGCCCTCCTAGATAGAACAGAAGCCATCCAAGCCTTAAATGAAGAACAAATCCAAATGAGAAAAGCAGTAATTCATAATAGAATGGCTTTGGACATACTCACAGCTGCTCAAGGAGGGACCTGTGCTATAATTAAGGTTGAATGTAGTGTATATATTCCTGATTTATCTGGCAATGTATCAGTTGCTTTAGATGACATGAAAACCAGGTAAAGGCAATGTCAAATGAAAACATTCCTTTCTGGACTTCGGTCCTATCTTGAGTGAAGGGTGATTGGTGGAAAACTATATTCCTGATTTATCTGGTAATGTATCATCTGCTTTAGATGACATGAAAACCAGGTAAAAGCAATGTCAAATGAAAACATTCCTTTCTGGACTTCGGTCCTATCTTGAGTGAAGGGTGATTGGTGGAAAACTATATTTACCATTGTTACAGTTGCCTTGATAATTCTGCTTTGTAGACCCTGCATTTTACAATGTATTATGAACTTTGTAACCCAAAGGTTGGTGTCGTTCTCCCAAATTGGTGGTCGGAGAGCCAGGGTGCAATATATCCCTATGAGTGACGCTCATACTATGAGTTAAGAGCATCAAGTAGGGGGAATGAAGGAGGAAACAGACAGAACAGGCTCCATCCTGAAAGCAGGACTCCATCTTGGGCCGGACTGTGGACTTTGAGCTATATGCCCAGTATCTATGGAAACGACATAGCAACTGGAAAACCAGATCCCCTCCCCCCATGGAAGAACCTGAGGGCTCATACCTAGACTCTCCATGGACTAAAAGAACACCCTAATTATCTGTGTAACTGAATAGAATCATAAATTCTATTATGCTTATTGGGGTATGACCACAGGCCTATTGATAATTGTCCACCGTTAACTACCTAGGCTTAAGGCTTACGAATCACGGGCTTAAGGCATATGAATCATGGGTTAACTTTGATTGTAGCTTTCTTTTCCTTTGTTGAGACTAGTTTCAGAGAATTTGGGGAGGTGGGTTTGAGCACATACACTTACGGTATATAAAGTCTTCAGAAAAACACTGGTCAGTGTCCTTGGCTAAGAGGAGACTCTGCCTTGGGCCTGCCAGTGTAATAAACTGCACTCCACTATCTGCATTGTCCTTCTGAGTGAGTTTGTTTCCCGGAATGTGTGGCTACAACAGCATCTCCTGCAGGGCAGGCAAACTCTTTACTGTTGAGCCATACCAGGGAAGACTCACTCATTGTTAAATCAATGCTAATCATATCTACACAAAGGAATTCCCTCTCGCCAGTCAGATTGGCCATCATCAGAAAGACCTCCAAAGAATAAATGCTGCGGAGGGTGTAGGGAAAGTGGAATCCTCCCACACTCTGAGTGGGGAGGTACACGCATGCAACCACGATGGAAAACAGCATGGAGGTTCCTGAGAAAAGGAAACAGAGGAGCCATGGGACCCGGCAACACCACTTCTAGGCTCAGATCCAGAGAACACCACAATTTGAAATGACACGTGCACCCCTGTTTTCAAGGAAGCACTATTTACAATAACCAAGACATAGAGTCCACCAAAATGTCCAGCGACAGGAACATGAAGTCTGAGTGGTCCATCTGTACACTGGACTACTCCTAGGCTCCGGGGGTGGAATCAGGATGGGAGAATGTGGCCTCTGACCAGCAGCTGGTTGGAAGAAGGGTGATCGGTCCTGAGGGCAGGGGGTTCCCTGAAGTCTGTGGACCCCAGTGCCCTGATAGGCTTCATCCCCAGTGAGGACATGGGCAAGGCCTGAGCCCCTCTGATGAAACCACAGCAGCACTGGCTCAAAGATCTCCTGAGGGTGTCTCAAACTCTGACACCGTGTTTTACAAAGGAACAGGAGAATGAAGCTGAGCTCCTTAGGGCCAGTCCTGGCTCTGACTTGCTTCCAAAAGACTACCATCACCTGCATGGGGTCGGCTTTGACCCACCTTCCCCCTCCTGGTGTTTCCTCTTCCTCCCAGTGGTGATTGCAGTGACATTTGCAGCCTGGGCCCCTCTCCCAGGCAACATGTCTCTCTCCATCCACAGCCTCTACATCTCACCTTGGGGGCTAACAGGCCCCTCAAGGAATGTGATCCTGCTGCTCCCCACGCCCAGGAGGCAGCCCCAGCTTCTCCAGCTGCTGAGCCCAGACACCCGGTGTAACCGAGCAGGAGGCTGTGGGGCCCTCCCAGGACAGACCCCGTCCTGTATCCTCTGCTGTAGCTCCTCTCTGAAGTATGAAGATAGCAGCATCTGATGCACACTCCAGGAGTTTTGCAGATGCTAAAATCCCCACTGAGTGTAAGAAGTTAACTACTTGATGGGCATGAACACTTCACCCCCAGAGCATCCAGTGCCTGAGGGTTTGTGAGGTTAGCCACCTGTTACCTCACCAACTAGAGAACCATGCACCAGCGGATCGCCAACTCTGTGACCCCCTCCCTCATGCGGCCTGTAAACTGCTTTCCTGAAACCCTCCAGGGAGGCCAGGGTTGAGAGTTCTCTGACCCCCTCCCTTGTGCGACCTGTAAACTGCTTGCTGAAATCTTTCAGGGGTTGAGAGCACAAGCCATCTGTCCTCTTTGTATTGGTACTTTTATAATTATCGCTTCCCTTTCCTTCACTGCAACCTGGTGTCGTAGACTGGCTTTATTGCACTCAGGTGTGTGGGTCCAAGTTTGGTTCAGTGACACGGGGGCCTCCCAGGCTCCCACTTCCTTGTGCCCCAGTGACTGTCAGCACCTCCTCCAGAGCCCACAGCCAGTCCCCACACTAATTCTCCTCTACCCCAATCCCATAGTTACTGGTTACATCATGGTATTGATGATGACATCCAGAAGAGCCAGCTTTGTGAGGCAGACATTCCTGGACTTGACACTGGGCCCCTTCCCATGGGTAGGATGGAGTGACTGCTCTCATGGGCCTCATGGTGGAGGAGCTCACCTGATGAAGACAGGCCTGATCCTTTCCAGGTGATTGCATGGTCCTCATTCTCCCCAGACTCCTACCCACATGGCTGCCGTCTGTGCTGGTCTATGCGGGATCTTAGTAATCTAAAGTGAGTGTGATTTTATACTCAGATAATGGGCTTCCCTGGTGGCTCAGACAGTGAAGACACCTGCAGTGCGGGAGACCTGGGTTTGACCCCTGGGTTTGAAAGATCCCCTGGAGGAGGGAACGGCTACCCACTCCAGCATTCTGGCCTGGAGAATTCCATGAGGATCCTGGCAGGCTATAGCCCATGGGGTCACAAAGAGTCGGACATGACTGAGCAATTTTCACTTTAAATGGATTGAATGGTGGCCCCAAAAGATGTGTCCCCCCCAGGACATATGAACTAGACCACATCTGGGAAAACGGTCTTTGTCGGTGCATCTGAAGATGTTGGGATAAGGTCATCTTGGGTGTGGGTGGCCCTCAATCCAATTAGCAGGTTCCTTGTAAGAGACAAAAGAAGGGTGACAGACACAGAGGACAAGCTGCATGAAGACGAAGGCAGAGATGGGAGGGAGGGAACCACAAGCCCAGGGACCCCTGGAGCCCTAGAAACTCGAAAAAGCAGGAAGGACCCCATCCTGGAGCCCCTGGAGGCCCACACCGCCTTGATGTCAGGTGTCTGATCTCCAGATCTCGGGGAGGATGAACTCCTATTGTTTTAAAACACCCAGCTTGTGGTCATTTGTTAGAGAGGCCACAGAGCAGCCACACAGCCCCTGCTCTGTAGGATCCTGGAAGTGTGGGTCTCAGTAAAGGCAGATGGAGGCTGGATTACAGAACCCTGCACTGGGCCCTCAGAAATGCTAAAGCAGTGGCTGGACCCCGGTCAAGTCTGAAGCCTATCCCCTAGGGCTGCACATGCCTCCCCAGGTTCTTACACCTGAACAAGTGGTATAACACATCAGTCCTGACTGAGGACATTTAATGTCACTGTTCACCCTGCTAATTTCATCAGTTACACAGGCAAAAACCCAGTTAGGATACTTGCCACACTGATGATCAATTCTGAAGATGGTCAGGAGTGGGGACTCACATGCAGCCAGCAGCCCTTCCACCGTCTCCACCCCCTTATCCCACCCCCTCCTCCACCCCACCCCCCAAGGAGCATCCTCAGTGGGAAGGTGGGGGACCCAACGGAGGCCACTCTAAGTAAACCTTGGCTGAGCCCCAGGTAAACTGCTTCTGAACCTCATCCATCATTCCCAGATAAAACACCCAAATATGAGCAAAGACCTCACAGGCTGGAGAAAAGGGCTTGGGGCCACCTCAGCGACACCACGCTTCCCAAGTTGGTCCTGACCCAGGGGCTCTTCTGGAAGCTTTCCGTTCCCTTACCTGAGTTACCTCTCCAGTCCTGCTCCCACTGCCTTTTCTCTTGCTTCCTCACCACCACCACCCCCCGACCCTGGGGAGATGTCCAACAGCAGGAATGGGTGACACCCCCCTTCCTTACCTGGTCTAGAGAAGACCTGATCACAAACAGCAACCGCAAGGCCGTCTCGCCAGCCCAGCCCACGCACCCCGCAGAGGATGGCCTTGAGTCCAGCTGCAGGCGCTCTTCACCTGCTTACAGAGACTCAGCCCAGGCACCCCTGGGAGGGCTGGCCGGTGGCTCAGGGGGGCCAACCCTCCCCCACCAGGGCTCTCAGCTGCAGAAATGGGCCTTGCTGTGCCCGCCAGGTGCAAGGAACTGGCGAGGGTCCTGAGGGTCAGGATGGGCTCGGGGCTGGCGCTCTGGCTTGTTTTCTAATCATTTTACCTGGCCCATGAGTGGGAGGTAATTTCAACAGGACCCTCTCCTAATGAGGAGAATCCACAAGTCAAGGAGAGGAGAGGTGGGGTGTGGAGACAAGCCCCAGTGCCTGGGTGCAGCAGAAGTCTCTGGAAGACTTGGTGGAGGGAGGCTGCATAGTGAAGCCCAGGGTCACTGACCTGTCCAGGAGCAGCTGTTTGTTAGTTCAGGTCCTGCTCTGAGGGGCTCAGGGTCAGATCTGACCAACAGGTGGACTGGGGGTGCTCTGAAATGAGGGCTCTGTACACGATTCCTAGGTGCTGAGCTCTGCGGATACCTGCCCAGGTGAGCCCCATGCCCTTGGAGGAGCCTGCCCACCAGAACCCTGTGCTCCTGGGAGGGGCGTGTGAACGAGCGCCCCCCAGTGCAGCAGGCACAGAGTAGCTCCCCCGCCAGCAGCACCAGGATGAGATGAGCACCAGGCACGCAGTGGGGCCCTGAGCCCATCCTGGGCCCATGCAGAGTGAGGAGATCGGGAGGCGGGTGTGGCCACTGTGCTGTGTGTGGGAGGCCCCACCTGACACCACGGGGCCTCCCCAGGATAGCAGACAACCTGCCCCAGGTGGTGGGAGCTCCTGGTGACCCTGCAGGGGCTGTGAGAGAGGGAAGGGCCAGGCCGGAGGGGAGTGAGTGCCCAGGCAGAGCCAGGGGGCGCGGGGCCCAAGGATGCCTTTGTGGTCTGAGGGGAAATGGGCAAACAGGCGGTGAGTGTGACCCTGGGAAGTGGCCCTGGTAATGGGAGACTGAATCCGCCTCAGAGGGACAAGGCTTCCAGATGATCCCAGGACAGGATGTGAGACAGGAGTCCTGGTAAAAGACAGGGAGTGAGACCCCCTAAGAGGAGGCTCTGTGAGCTGCCCCAGGAGGGGGTAAGGGGGCAGATGAGAACCTGCTATGAGTGGGCACTTACCCTGGGAGGGCGTGAAGGGGGCAGACGAGAACCTGCTGTGAGTGGGCTCTCACCCTGGGCAGGGGTGACGGGGGCATATGTGAACCTGCTGTGAGCGGGCACTTACCCTGGGAGGGCGTGAAGGGGGCAGACATAAACTTGCTGTGAGCGGGCACTCACCCTGGGCAGGGGTGACGGGGGCAGACATGAACTTGCTGTGAGCGGGCACTCACCCTGGGCAGGGGTGACGGGGGCAGACATGAACTTGCTGTGAGCGGGCACTCACCCTGGGCAGGGGTGACGGGGGCAGACATGAACTTGCTGTGAGCGGGCACTCACCCTGGGCAGGGGTGACGGGGGCAGACATGAACTTGCTGTGAGCGGGCACTCACCCTGGGCAGGGGTGACGGGGGCAGACATGAACTTGCTGTGAGTGGGCACTCATCCTGAGCGGGGGGCACACACCCCGCTCCATGGCTGCACGTCTGTCCTTCTGGGTGGGTCACTTGGCTGCTCGGAGCCTCAGCCTCTCAGCCTGCTTGTGGGCTGACGGTAGCACAGACTGACCAGTCATTTGCTCAGAACAGCACAGAAAGGGGCCTCATGGAAATTCCACAGACCACCACCAGAATGGGACTCTCAGCCCCTGTTCCCTGCAGGTCTGTCTGCAGGCGCCGGAGAGCAAAGGTGAGCAGACTTGCAGCAGAGCCTGGGACGGGCTCGGTGTGGTGGTTGGTGGAGTGACCCCTCCCGTCCCCAGGCCCTGCCAGCACTGGCCCTTCAGGCTCCGGGTTGGGGAGCCCATGGGGTGTGGGTCCCGCTGTGCCCACCAGGGAGGCCTGGAGGACTTGGTGAGGAAGCACTGGTATGGCCCTCACCTGTCCAGAAGCTTCCAACCCAGGGTCCAGTGGGAGCTCTCACCCTGCACATGGGATTCAACCCCACAGCGCACAAGAGCTTCTACGGCTCTGCTTGCTTCCTGCACGCCAAGTCCTGACACCCAGGACACCCACCGCCCATGAGGAGGCTCGGTCGACCTGGCTCCAGCTGCTGCTTCCGGGTCCCTCCTGACCGCACACCCGGCAGCCTCCGTCACCGAGTCAGACCATCGGGTGCTGTTAGAGTGTGGGGACGAGAGCACAGGCCAGGCCCGGGTTGGGGGCCGCGCCGCCACGCTGGTGCTGCGGCTGTAAATGCACCCTCCCCACCCCCCAGGCGGAGACCACCGCCCCCTACAGACTGTCACCAGGTCAATCCATGGACCCTGCTCGGGCCCTAGCCTGGCCAGGGCTCTCTGCCTCAACAGGTTTGCTTCTTCCATTTGGGTTCAAGTAGGTGATTATGAAACCAAAGCTGAGGCCAACACAGCACAAGCTTTGTTCAGAGGCCAAAGATTGGAGAAGTGGGAACAGAGCTCACAGCTGAACTTCTCGCACACCTGGAGAGAGTGGTTTGATTTTAAAAGTAAAGACAAAGGGGGAAGGAGTGAGGCTGATCCTGGGGAGGCAGGTCAGTTTAGGGGAAGGGCGGGGCTTTCGGAGTCAGTGGGGTGCCACCTCCTTTTTACCTTTTTTTGGTTCTTCATGTTCAGTCATGGCCAACGGTTGGTGTATCAAGTTAGCAGTGAGCAGTGACCTGAAGTGAGATCTTAATTCCCTGCCCAGGAATGGAGACTGGGTGCGAACCAGGAATCCTAGCCACCAGACCAGCAAGGGCTAGAGGCTAGAAGCTATTTTTCCTCAGATCTTTGCCCCCAGTGAAAAATGTTTTTACCATGGAGGCAGAAACTAAATGCAGATATAAAATTTATTATTAGGGGCAAAGCATAACAACAGGCGGGAGAACACATAGAGAAATGTTTTGTTAAGATAGAAGCACGGCAGGGAACAGGTGTGTGCATCCTCCCCAGTGAGGGGGAGTGCAGCAAAGAGGCGGTTAAGTCTTTCATACAGAGCAGTTCTTCTAGGTCTTTGTCTTCCTTCAGGCTGATTACCTGGTTTCTCTTCCCACACCTGACCTACTCTGGGACCCTTCCCTGGGTGCACACTCACCTCTCAGGCAGGAAGGGTCTCGAAGTGAAGGGTTCTGGGAGGAGCAAGACTTATTATGGCCTTACTATTAACTCTTGAGTTCTGACCCAAGAAGCTTTTCTGTGCATGTGTAGTGTCTCCCTTGTCCCAAAAGTCTGGGGGCAGAGGTCCCTTAATCCTTTACTCATACAGGCTTTTGCCCTCTCTTTGTCCTTGCCGTGACTGTTACCTTAAGGTGTTTACAAGAGACGAACACTGGCTATTTACTCTCTGTTGTTACTTCCATTTCAGAGGTCAAACAGGAGGCTGACTGTAAATACCTAGACTGAAGCTGTTAGGTAGTTAGAATAGGGAAAAAGAGTCCAAAATGGCGGTGGCTAAAAGGCCTGGAAGGGAAAGCCCGCAAAAGTAGAACAAAGGAAGGTCCGGAGGACCGGAGTGAAAACCTCAGGTAAAACCAACACTCCTGGCCGGCCCAATTTACGTAAGACGGGCCCAGGGACAGAAACACATAAAAGGAGGAGCCAACCCCCCCCCCCTTTTGCTCCCTCCCTCCCTCTCCCCCGCGCAGTGGGGCGATCGTCTCTTCGGGTCTTTGGATCAACGTGCCCTCACGCCTCAAAGATGGATTTTCCTGCTATTATCTAAATAAACAGAGCTGTAACACTGAGCTGTAACACTGGTTTAAGAGCTATAACACGGTCTGTCCTCCAAGAGCTGTGACCCGCCAGGGGGCTTTAATGTCCGTCACTCCAAACTTCTGTTGTGACGGGACAAAGAACCGAGGGGCATACACTCGCGTGACAAAGCCCACCTCTCTTCTCTCAGAAATGCTAACAGTTGTAAGTATCCAGCCTGAAGCCCACTTCTTCATGTCCCATGAAAGGCAAACAGGAGGCCAGTTATAGATGTCTAATCTGGACCCCATCTATCTGCTACATCAATAATATACTAAAGTCACCACACAGTGAGACTCGGGGTCTGCTCAAAGCCAGATCCACCTCCACGTGGTCCCAGCTGGTTCCATCTGGTTTTGTTTGTAGCTTCCTCTCTTCTCTCTAGACCCTTTACCTTAAAGACTTTTGTTACATCCTGCTAAAGGTGCGAACAAGGTTAAAAGGTTGAGAACAAGGACACCCCTATTAAGGGTTTCAGATGCTGCTACAGTACCCCCTGATCCTTTCCTGAGAACACTGCGGGGTGGGGGTGGGGGGGGGTATGTGAATTCAGGCTGAAGGGCAGACAGGTTGCTCTGGATTCTCGTGTGGGGAGGTGGGGCACAGCAACAGGCTCTGCCTGCAAACCCCAGAACCACTCACAGGTCGGCTCCAGAACTGCTCCTGGAGTGGCAAGAAGGGGTGTCCCCCTACTAGACCTGGAGGAAGGGGTGGGGTCTGCAGAGCCGCCTCATCTCGGACCTGCTGGGAGGCTCCAGGCTCAGCACAAGCTGGGTTCCTCAGGGCGCAGTGGGGCTGCCCGGGGGAGGGGCCCTGAGCCACTCACTCACCACCCTTCCTGCACCTCCTCCCTCAAGGGTGTCTGGGTGTCTCTTCCCCCAACGAAACCGTGACAGTCACCCCCACCCCGTCCCCTCAGGCAAGTGCACTAGAGACTTGACACCCGTATGGAGGCTGGTCACATGGTGGTCTCTGCCCTCACCCTCCAGAATCCCACTGCCAAGAAGGGGAGCCAGGGCTCAGCATGAACCTCACAGTTGGTGCAGACAGCACAGGTGCAGGGGGCTGCCCCTAATGGGAGGGAGGCTTTAGATAAGGGCAGGACCACCTGCTGCATGAGCTTTCCGGGGCAGCAGTGACAAACGACCACACTCGGACACTCTGAACAACAGAAGCCTGCCCTCTCTCAGTCCTGGAGACCAGACGCCTGAGGTCAGGGTGTCCCAGCGCCGCACTCCCTCCAGAGGCTCCAGCCAAGGGTCCTTCCTGCCTCTTCCAGTTTTTTGGGATCCAGGTGTCCCTGGAGCCCACACTGTTTCAATGTGTCCAAAGTGGTTTGTGAAGTTTTATGCTGGAGTGTTCTCGCTGGGTGATACTTCACATTCGGGTAGACCTGTTGAAGTTGACTGTGATCAAATAGAGACATTAACTGAGAACAATCAACATTATACCAGGCAGGCGATAGATGACATATTTGAAATAGCCAACTCAAGTACTGAAAATCATTGCATTAACTTGGTTAATCACTTTGATGTTTGGGCCTGCGGCCCTCCACCCTCAGGCCTCAGCTCCCAGAGTGTACATTTCACAGGAGAAATTGATTTCCTGCTTCCAAGCAGACAGACAGGAGATGGAACCTTAACCTTACCCTTGAATTGTGCCATTTAACATGATGCTGGGGATGGGAGGAGGACTGGCCAATCTCCAGGACCTGCAATGGTCTGTGTTTTGTTTTTTTTTTTCTTTATACTTCTCACTAGCTTTGCCTGTTTACTCAGATGTGGGTTGAAATTGTTCTTTGTGTGCTCACTAGTTACTCACTTCAGAAGCCACTTGGAGCCATCAGAGAAACTGAATTTCAGAAGATATAGCTAATCAGAAACCCAATGTTCATTATTCAGAATTGTTTGTTTTTCCTGGAGTAAATAGTTACTAGAACCACAAAGTAAATAATAAAAGTTAATACCACTACAATATAACATTTAACATGGATTCATCTGAGCTTTATTTACACACAAAGGTGAGCATCTGAACTGCCCCTTGGTGTGGGCGGCAAAACCTTTCAGTGAGCTCCCCCAGGTTGAGTAAGAAATAGGAGAATTTTCTCTGCATTTATCATGCACTAGGCTGGGTATGAGGAATTCACAGATACTGCGACTTTTAATGATCTGAGTTATAAGTGTTACAGAAGCAGGTCTGTGTTTCCCGTAGGGCATGTGTTCTCCAGCATGTTCAACCCTTTGTGATCCCATGGACTGTAGTCCGACAGGCTAGTCTGTCAGTGGGGTTTCCCAGGCAAGAATACTGGAGTGGGTTGCCATTTCCTTCTCCAGGGGATCTTCCCGACCCAGGGAAGAGGAGTTAGGACACGTCCTGTGGATCAAGGGTAAGGGGGCACACCAAACCTTTGGGTGTTTGGTGTTTCTCCTGGCCCAGTTCAGTTCAGTTCAGTTGCTGTCGTGTCTGACTCTTTGCGACCCCATGGACTGCAGCACGCCAGGCCTCCCTGTCCATCACCAACTCCGGGAGTTTATTCAAACTCATGTCCATCGAGTCAGTGATGCCATCCAACAGTCTCATCCTCTGTTGTCCCCTTCTCCTCCCGCCTTCAATCTTTCCCAGCATCAGGGTCTTTTCCAATGAGTCAGTTCTTAGCACCAGGTGACCAAAGTATTTCACTCTAATTGATGATCCACACACAGGATTTTCTGAGGCTCTGCTTGGCCAAGGGACCAGTTGAGCATGAAGAACTGCTGCCACCCTGTGGCTACATCTAGTAGTACAACTTTAAAACCAGTTCTCAAGGAGTCTTGCTATTCAAAGGGCCTGTGGTGGTTTAGTAGTTCAGTAGTGTCCAACTCTTTGTGACCCCATGGACTGTAGCCTGCCAGGCTCTTCTGTCCATTGGGTCTTCCAGGCAAGAATACTGGAGTGGGTTGCCATTTCCTTCTCCAGGGGAACTTCCCAACCCAGGGATCAAACCCAGGTCTCCTGCATAGCAGGCAGATTCTTAACCAACTAAGCAATCAGGGAAGCCTAATTCTATTCAAAAGACCTGAGAGTCTGTAGATGACACCTGCCCTTCAAGTAATGTCCCTAGGAAAATCATCAGAAAAAGAATTCAAAGCAGGGCCCAGTCTCAAGAGGTACATTGTACTCACACTGTCTATGGTCCAAATGCATTTGGAAACATACTCCACATGACCACCTTCAAAAACAAGGAATCACCTCATATTGCTCAGACAGACCAGTATCAAAAAGATCTACTGAAACTAAGTCCCACAGAGGGCTTAAGAGAAAAAGAAATCCTCCTTTCCTCCTTGTTGGTATGCAAATGCATACAGGAAATATGCAAAGTAGCACAGGGATTTCTTTAAAAAAAAAACTAATATATTGCCCTTACTTTTCTAACACAAGTTATTATAAGTATGACCTAGCTTTTTAAATATACTAATCAAGTACCTAAATACATAAGGCTCATAGAGACAGACAGTCCATAGTTTTGACATTTACTAGGAAGAAAATAAAAAATAAATTTTAGCGCTACCACCTCACAGCTGTCAGAATGGCCATTATTAAAAAGTCTACACACTAATGCTGGAGCAGTTGTGGAGAATAAGGAACCATATATAATTGATCAGTGACAATATACTGATGTGAACATTTTAGTGGCATGTACAAATACATATTAAGTAGTGTTATGATAACTATTAGTGTTGGCACGATTATTTTCTTCATGTCTTTTTCATATATTCCTTTTGAGATTCTGTTCCATTATATGTTATCACAAGATATTAATATAGTTTCCTACACTATACAATGGGCTTCCTTCATAGGTCAGTCAGTAAAGAATCTGCCTGCAATGCAGGAGACCTGGGTTTGATTCCTGGGTCGGGAAGATTCCCTAGAGAAGAAAATAACAACCCACTCCAGTATTCTTGCCTGGAGAATTCCATGAAAAGAGGAGACCGGCAGGCTACAGTCCATGGGGTCACAAGAGTCGGACATAACTTAGCAACTAAACCACCACCACAGTAGGTCCTGGTGGTTTCTTTCGTGTGTATTATGTATCTGTTAAGAATCCCAAACTCCCACAGAGGCCGCGGAGCCGGCGGGAGCCGGGCGCGCCGCCGAGCCGCGCGCCATGGGCAACATCCAGAAGAAGCTGACGCGCAGGAGCGAGGGCGGCAAGCGGCAGGAGAAGGGCACGCCGCGGCGGGGCCGGGCGCCGGGGGCCGGCGCGGACCGCCCGCGCCCGCCGCCCCGGTGGGCCCCGCCGCCCTGAAGAGCCAGGGCAACGAGCTCTTTCAGAATGGGCAGTTCTCCGAGGCGGCGCTCAAATACTCGGCGGCGATCGCGCAGCTGGAGCCCGCAGGAAGTGGAAGTGCAGCCGATCTAAGTATCTTCTATTCAAATAGAGCAGCATGTTACCTCAAAGACGGAAACTGCAGTGGCTGCATTCAGGATTGTAACAGGGCCCTGGAACTTCATCCATTCTCCATCAAGCCTCTTTTTCGACGTGCAATGGCCTATGAAGCTGTAGAGCAGTATCAGAAAGCTTACGTGGATTATAAAACAGTGTTGCAAATAGACTGTGGAATCCAGATAGCAAATGACAGTTAACAGGATAACAAAGATTTCGATCGCTCTGGATGGCCCAAACTGGCGGGAGAAGCTGCCACCCATTCCTGCTGTGCCCACCTCCGCACAAGTGCGGGCTTGGCGGCCTGCGGCAGAGACGCCCCCAGACCAAGTGGGAGATTCCTGCCACCATCCCCAGCCGGGCACACCAGGTGAAAAAGTATTTAAAACCCTTAAAGAAGAAGGAAATCAATGTGTAAAAGACAAAAACTACAAAGATGCTCTTAGTAAATACAGTGAATGCTTAAAGATTAACAACAAGGAATGTGCCATTTATACAAACAGAATTATCAGAAAAGTTTAAACGATCTCAATAAAGTTCTCCTACTAGACCCAAGTATTGTTGAGGCAAAAATGGAACTGGAAGAGGTAACCAGAATCCTTAATATTAAGGACAATACAGCATCATTCAACAAAGAAAAGGAGAGAAGGAAAATTGAGATTCAAGAGGTGAGTGAAGGCCATCAGGAAGAGTCTGAGAGGACCGTGAAGGAAGCCCCCACGGACGGCCTTGCTTCTGAGAAGGGGGACACCAGTAATGGGCCACAAGAACTCTATGAGAAACTGCTGATCTCCAGGCCTAACAATGCCTACGAATTTGGTCAGGTCATAAACGCCATCAGTACGAGGAAAGATCAAGGAGCCTGTGCACACCTGCTAGCCATCACTGAACCCAAAGATTTGCCAGTGTTGTTGAGTAACAAACTTGAAGGGGACACGTTCCTCCTCCTCCTCCAGTCTCTGAAAAGTCATCTTATTGATAAAGATCCCTCCTTGGTGAATCAGCATCTTTTATATCTGAGCAAAGCAGAAAGGTTTAAGATGATGTTGACACTAATTAGCAAAGACCAAAAGGAGCAGATGAAGCGGCTCTTTGATGACCTCTCAGATGCACCAAACAAACACTTTACTTTAGAAGATGTGCAGGCCCTCAAAAGGCACTATGATGTTTAAATCAAGATAATGGTTAGATTTCTTCCATGTATGTATGTGTTCCGGTAATGCCAGTGAGATGGTATTGTAATAGAGTTGCATGGATAAAACCTGGCTTAGAAAAGATCCCTTGGTCTGGACTATAAAATATTTTACTTATTTTTATACACAGAACACGTATATTCTACAATCTCCTTTTTATTAGTTGTAAATATTTTCTTATGTACCAGAGCTAACATCTTTATATTTAATAATAAGTATATTTGGAACTTGTTAAGATGCATTTTAACTTATACTATACATTTTCTCTTAATGACTTGTTAAAATTTTGAGTTAAATTCTACTTCTTTGGGCTATGAAGCAGTCCTCTTAAGTTTGGTAGAAATGTCATTTCTTTATAGTTCATTTTTAAAAGTGAAAATCATTAACAGTGATTATTACATCACCTTTATTTCCTGCTAAGATATATATAAATCCCATTTTATATTACTTGTGGATGACAGGCCTCTAAGATGAAACACAACATTTAAGTCTATAATAGGAAATGATTATTAAATAAATTTTGGTTATTTAGAGCTATAAGAGGAACGTATTTTTTCTAATAGGGAAGTATTGCCTACTAATTAAGAACAGAAATTGCCAAAAATTCTATTACTAGATTTTTGAAGGCTGGTTTCCCTTATGTGTTGTTTATATAAGCAATAACAGAACAGCCACTGTATAAAAGCAACCAAGCCTGCATTTCTATTTGAATTGTCACTTGCACATTTCCCCCAAACATTTTAAGTTACTTCTCCCTCTTTTGTTCCCTCCTCCTTTAAGCATGATCATATTTATTCCCTTAGTGCAAAAGGGAAAATGAAGAACTCTTTATATTGAGAGCTCACTTGTCACTTGGGTCAAAGTAAAGGTATTTCTTATAATAAAACATTCAGGTCTCTAAAAAAAAAGAATCCCAAACTCCTAATCAATCCCTTCTACCTTTTCCCTTTGGTAACCATACATTTGTTTCCTATTTTTGTGAGTCTACCTCTGTTTCATAAATAAGTTCATTAGTATCATTTTTCTTACATTCATTCCACATATAACTGATACCATATGATATATGTCATTCTCTGACCTCACTTAGTATGATAATCTCTAGGTCCATCTATATGCGGCTGTAAAAGGCATTACTTCATTCTACTTTATGGCTCAGTAACAGTACACTGGTATGTGGTTGTCTGTGCATGGAAACACATAAATATATCGCATCCTCTTTATCCATTCATCCAACAATGGACAGTTATTAGGTTGGCTCCATGTCTTGGCTGTTATAAATTCTACTGCTATGAACGTAGGGGTGCACGTATCTTCTCAAATTAGATTTTTTGTCTTTTCCAGATATCTGACCAGACATGAGACTGCTAGATCATATGACTATACTTTTAGCTTTTTACAGAATCTCCGAGCTGTTCTCCATATTGGCTACACCAATTTATATTCCTACCAACAGTCCAGGATGGTTCCTTATTATCCACAACTGCTCCAGCATTTGTAGACTTTTTAATGATGGCCATTCTGATGGCTGTGAGGTGGTACTGTCTCTATGAGCCTTACATATCTAAGTACTTGATTAGTATATTTAAAAAGCTAGGTCGTAGTTCTAATAACTTGGGTTAGAAAAGTAAGGGCAATATATTTGTCAGATGAGTCAACAGAATCTTATTATATATAGTTATATGTTGACCTTATTTTAGGAGTCTGGCAGGGTGATGGTGGCAAACAAAGGATGAGATTTAATAGGAGATAACAGACTGGTTCCAAATAGGAAAAGGAGTACATCAAGGCTGTATATTGTCACCCTGCTTATTTAACTTATATGCAGAGTACATCATGAGAAACGCTGGGCTGGAAGAAGCACAAGCGGGAATCAAGANGACAGAGGATGAGATGGTTGGATGGCATCACCGACTCGATGGACATGAGTTTGAGTAAACTCCGGGAGTTGGTGATGGACAGGGAGGCCTGGCGTGCTGTGATTCATGGGGGTTGCAAAGAGTCGGACACGACTGAGTGACTGAACTGAACTGAACTGATACTTATATATGTAGAAGGGCATATAATTCTCCAAGCAAACAGTACTATTTGCTTTTATGACATCAATTTTGAATGCTTGTGTGCCACTTAATGACAGTGTTTATGTCCTGTAAGCAAATTGTTCGGGAAATAGTTTAAGCTGAATTTCAACTTTCCGTGCTGATGGGAGAGCTAGAGCACCTTCCCTGAGTCTTAAGGGGATATTTTACTCTCCATTTCTGACAAAGTCTCTTACACTTTAGCAGGTTACTTTTAACAATGCTTCTTAGTGCTATAACTACAAAGATTACAAAAAAAATATAGAACGGATGCTAGATCTCCAATGAAAATATATCAGTGATCAATGGAATCTCTTCCAATTCATGTGTGTTAATAGGTCCACTACTGGGAATCAAAAAAAAAAAAGATTAGCTAAGAGGTATCAATGTTACACCTTATTGTTCTGATATACAAACTACTGGGACAATTGCCAAAATGACAGTTGGGAACATTAGGGATAATACACCCATTTAGTGTGGATAGATCACAGAACAGCATATGCAAATTACAAGTATTATCTCAGTTTGATGTGAAGGGGGAGTGTTGAAGGAGTTAGCTAGCATATAATTTTCTGGGTCTCCTAGAGGGTCAGATGAGAATACTATTAGAATTATTAAGACTAATAATAAGAACAAAGCAACCAAGGAATCCTCAACTTTGTAGTTCGGATGAAATGAGATTTTGCTAGAACTGGATGAGATCCCTGTTGGATTACTAGACTCTGTTTCATGAAAGATTAGTAGTTAATCGACTGCTAAAACTGCAATTAAAAAAAAAAAAGGGAAGATAAAATGGAAGGCAAAGAATCCAATGAAGAACAGAATCCTCCTGTGATCCTTTTGAATAACTTAGTGCCAATGGGAAAAATGGCTAAAACAAAACTTGACAAACCTGTTTCTCCTCAAAGGGACATTTAGACTCATTGCAACAGGTAACACATAAACACTACAGCTATTAAAGAAACAGTAAGCTGGTTCTAATGTTCATAATTCTAATAGAGTGTAAAATCCACACACAGGCTTCTTGCTACATGAATAAAGAAACAAAGAACATGGAACCTCCATTTCCATGTAAGTAAAAAATAATCCATAGATTGTTTACATATTGGTACACATGACTTGTCCTTCATGTACAATGTATTGCTAGAAATAAATCTGTTGTGATTTCATTTGCAAAAGTAAACAAATACAAGGCAAACAATGGGAATTTCATAATGATATTTGATAGGGACGGTAGATCAATAAATGCACTGTTAACAATTATGATTAACATCTTGAATTTTCAAATGTTCATCATTACTGTTCTTACAGTCAAAACACAATGATGATTTTTCCTTTCATTGCCATGTTTCAATTCCAAGTAAGAATATTGATGACATTCATTATATTGTTAGTTTTATAAGGTTTTTTCAAAATTTTTCATAAATTTGTAGTAGGTTTGGATTTATTAACATGGTAGAATTGTTTGTGTTATCCTAATGAATTTGGATGAGTGATCTTGGGGATTAATTTTTTTTTTTAATATATAGGGTAACTGTTAGTAGTTTTTGGTAATGCAAAAGCCATGGCTACTAAGCATGATGCTGAGGTTTGAGTTAAAAATCGTCTTGGGTATATTCCCTTTCTGTAATGATGGAAATACAGATTAAAGTCACAATGCAATATCTGTTCACATTCACTAAACAATTAGAATCAAGATCAAATATTAACAGCAATGTAGAAAATCAGAAACCATACGCTTTGCTTGTGGATATGGAAAATAGCAGACTATATGCATAATAGTTTGGTATTTCCTCAGAAAGATAAAAATACACTTACTGTTTATTTCACCAACTGTTTACTTCTCTGCTCTTGGATACACATGTCAATAACTGAAAACAGCTGTTCAAACAACTGGCACACAACTATTCCTAGCAACATTACTCATAATAGCCCAAAGGTAGATGAAAGGTTGTTGCTGAACTGTGAACAATGCCGGGATTCTTGGCCTCCAGAGAGGAATTCAATCCTGGGCCAGTGACAAGGCTTGATTGCTCAGAGTTTTTGTGTAATACAGTTTTATTAAAGTACAAAAGAGATAGAGAAAGCTTCTGACACAGACATCAGAAAGGGACAGAAAGAGTGCCCCCTGCTAGTCTTTAGCCAGGTGATACACAGCTACTAGCTGGCTGCTGATTAGAGGAAGGCAATGTCTCAAAACTCAGAGACTGGCACCAGGCCCCTCACCCACATATAACACTGGCACAAGGTGAGTTGTCCTGGCCAAAAACGATCAACATGAATCCTGAAGAAAGACAGGATCCAAGCAAAAACATAGTCTCATTAACGTAGCTTAAGAGAACATTTGCATGCATAAAACACACTGGTTTGTCAAGTCAGTTCTGAGTCTTAGGCAGAACTGACTTGAAGACAGAGTCTAGGGTAAATACATAGTTCATTAACATAGCTTAAGAAAAACATTTCCATAAGAAAAATGCATTGGTTAGCTCAAGGTTTGAGAAAAGTTAAGTTCAGGCGGAACCAGGGCAACACAGAATTTTACAGAAACCTCTTTTTAAATTTGCATTTTACATTTACATTTAAAGTCGCTCAGTCGTGTCCGATTCTTTGTGACTCCATGGACTACAGTCCATGGAATTCTCCAAGCCAGAATACTGGAGTGGGTAGCGTTTCCCTTCTCCAGGGGATCTTCCCAACCCAGGAAATTGAACCGGGTCTCGCATTGCAGGTGGATTCTTTACTAACTGAGCTATCAGGGAAGCCAAAAATCTGACACTTGTAGTTTATTCACTCCATTTGGAGACCCCTAGGCCTTCCTATCTGTTACCCTCTCGTTCCCCCCTTTTCTTTTAGGAGAATTATGTTGCCTAAGGAAAGGGGCATCATCTCTAAATTGGTGAGGCAACATATTCTCCTAACCCTCATATTGAGGGTCTCTGATCCAGGGGCCCCAAGTAGTAGTTGGAGGAGTGGCAGGAGTTTGAGCAACCATTTGTAACTTAAAAGCCTTCATGCACCTAGAAACAAATCCAGCTACACAGTTACAGATGCAGGGAGCAAACAGCAAGAACAGAACAATCAGCAAAGTTAAAAGTCACATTATGTCCACAGTTAAGGTACAAAGTGTTGCACCAGTCCATATTAGGATTATTAGATGTCATCAGATTAAGAAGAGGCATCACATATGGTTGCTGTTGTTGAAGGTATTCAGAGACTTGGAGAAAGTCTTTTCCTTGAAGTGGAGATTGTCACCACGGGAAGCCTTCCACTGATGAAGAGGGGAGGGAGTGCTCCACAGACCCAGCAGTTAGACCAATTGTGGAATGTGGCCTAGGAGTGAGCCCAGGACAGGAAGGCATTGTCTTGAGGATCAAACAGCAGACTCAGGACTTTTGGAGTCAGCAGAAGCAGGCTCACATAGATTATCAGGCCCATCTGAAAAGTAAAGTCAGAGCATAGGAAGTAAAGACATAAAATGACATCACTTAGTTCTGGTCAGGGTGCCACCTCTTAACTCAAGTGTGATGTACCCACAAATCAATTCCTGGCCCTTTGACTGCTGTGGGAGGAGAAAGAATAACCTGGTAAGGGCCTTCCCAGAGGGGCTCAAGGGATGGGTCCCCAGACCCCAATGTTTTTATCGAGATCTTGGTTCCTGGCTCAAATAGAGGCTTGCTTGACTCAGAGGCTGGGTCAGAAGTCACCTCCCGGAGTTCCTTTAATGCCTGTTGAAAAGCTGAGAGCTGAATTAAATAATTAGTTAATTCTAAGGCTACAGGGTCTAAAACAATGTCTGTGAATAAGAAGGGACTTCCATAAATACATTCAAAGGGGGACAGTCCCTCCTTTTGGGGGGCAATTTGAGCCCTCATTAAAGCTATGGGTAGAACTTTTAAGCATTGCCCTGCGTCTCTTGAGTTAATTTGTGCAGAGGTCTCTTAATAATGTCATTAGCTTTTTCAACCTTTCTTGAGGATTGGGATCTCCAGGAACAGGGTAAGTGACATTCTATTCCTAGAGCTTCTGACAACCCGAGTTACAGAAGCTTTAAAGGCGGAGCCATTGTCACTCTGAAGGCTCCGTGGCAGCCCCAAACCTGGGGATAATTTCATGGATTAAAATCCTTATAACTTCCTTAGCCTGTTCACTACGACAGGGAAAAGCCTCAATCCATCCAGTAAAAGTATCCACCCAAACTTGTAACCAAGAATATCCATTTGCTTTTGGCATATGAGTAAAATCAATTTCCCAGTCCACTCCAGGGTATTTTCCACTTCATTGTAACCCAGATTTTGCTAGCTTTTCTGTCTTTGGGTAATTTTTCTGACAAACCTCCCATCTTTTGATAATGCTCTTTAAAGTTTTCATTATATTTTTACCTTCAAACAAACGAGAAGCCATCTGGTAAGTACTTTCAACACCTAAATGAAAACTCTGGTGTAAACCCTTAAGAATTTTCCATTGAACATTTTCAGGAATTATTAATCATCCATGCTTGGACTGTAACCATCCTTTATCAGTAATCTTTGCTCCTCTTTTCTCATATCTTTCTAATTCTTCTGCAGTATATTATGGTTTTTCCTGTTTCATAGGACCTGTCCAGATCAAAGGCGTCTGCAGTGAAGGGGTTTCGTAAAGTGCCGCTTTTCTGGCTTCACGGTCAGCCAGCTGATTACCCTTGGCTACTTTACTCCCATCCCTGCTGTGCCCTTTGCATAACAGCTACTTCTTCAGGACAATATATAGCAGTTAAAAGTCTCTCAATCTCTCTGAAATGCTTAATAGGTTCTCCTGTTGCCATTTTAAACTGTCTTTCTTTCCATACTGCACCATGAGCATGTAAAGTCAAATAAGCATACTTAGAATCAGTGTAGATATTTATTTGGTGCCCTTTGCTTAACTCTAGAGCTCCAGTCAGAGACACAAGCTCTGCTAGCTGAGCACTTGTTCCCTGGGGGAGAGATTTTGCTTCTAAAACCTGTTTAGCTGTCACCATGGCACAACCTGCTTCCCATCCCAAACAAAAAAACTGCCATCTGTAAATATTTTCATGTCAGGTTGTCAAATGGAGTCTTCCCAAGCTGCATGGTTTAAAGTTAGAAATTCCCAATAGTGATCAGGTGTCTCATTTTCCTTCTCAGGAAGGAAAGTGGCAGGATTTAAGTTCCCACAAACTTTAAGCTTAGCTATTGGTCCTTCTAACAACAGTGACTGATATTTAAGAAGCCAACTGTCTGTCATCCAAGTATTAACTTCATGGTGTAAGATTCCACTCTATAGGCTGCTGGTGAGGCCCTCAGGGTTGTGCCAAAACGCCCAAGGCCATACCTTTTCTTTCAGTGTCAAATTAAAAGTCTGACCCTGTGGGCGAGCTTAAAGCAGGAGCTTGCAGGAGAGCAGTGTGAAGAGCCTTAAAAGCCTTGTGAGTACCTGGAGACCACACCAGTTTGTTGGTTTGGGCTTGCTGAGTTTCAGTTATAAGTTTATATAAAGGCCGGGTAAATTCCCCATAACCCAGAATCCAAATGCAGCAGTAGCCTGTGATGCCCCAAAATCCTCTCAATTGTCTTAAAGTCATAGGTAGGGGATGATTTAGTATAGGTTTAATTCTAGAAAGCATATTGAAAAATATTTGGCTCGTTTAGGGATTTCAGACAATAGAGCATAAGGATTAGGCACCATGGGGTGTAAAGGAACTGCAGCCTCATTTATTATTTGTAAATCTTGAACTAGTCTCCACTTATCATTTGACTTCTTTATACCCAAAATAGGAGTGTTGCATGAACTGTTACAGGGAATTAATAGTCCCTGCTCCTTTGAATTCTTGATGATGGGTTTTAACCTTCCTTAACCTCAGGTTTCAGGGGATACTGCTTTTGATGTGGAAATAAGTGCAGGTCTTTGAACTTGACAACTACAGGAATAGCATTCTGTGCTCGACCCACAGATTTTCCATCAGCCCACATTCTAGGATTTACATTTTGTTCAATTAATGGGAGAGAAAGGGAGGGCTCCATATTCATGAAAACAGAGGCATGGACCTTGCTCAGTATATCCCTCCCCTAAAGGGGTTGAGGGAGACTCTGGCACGATCAGAAACATGTGTGAAAATAGCACAGAGTCCCAGTTGCAGCTTAGAGGACGAGTGAAATAATAACGTTTGGCTCGTCCTGACAGTCCCACTATGGAAGCAGATCAGAAAGAAAGTGGACCAGGGGCTTCAATAAGCACAGAGTAAGTTGCCCCAGTGTGTAGAAGGAAATTGACAGATTGGCCCCCACAGTTATTAGTAACTGGGGTTCCTCGCATGTGATCAGGATGGGAGCTTGTGTGGGGACCCCTGGGCACCTTCAGTCCTGGTTTTCTTGAAACCTAGGTCCCTCAAACCTATGCCTCTGGGGGCAGTCTCTTCTCCAGTGTGGTCCCTTGCAGACAGAACATGGAGCTGGGGGCGGCTTAAGACACCTGAGGGCAATCCTGCTTGAGGTGCTCCTCCTTTCCACAGTAATAGCAAGCCCATCCCTTTTCACCTGGGTCCCTCTGGGCATTTTTCTCAGGCTGTTTAAGAACGGTTCTGACAGACATAACAAGGGCTTCCGCCTGTTCCCTTGTCTTTCTCTGCCTTTCTTTCTTTTCCTCATAGTCCCTGTTCGAACCAGGTGCAACAGATTATCTAAAGACTGCTTTGATCCTGTTTTAATAGCTTATGGCAGATACCCGGAGCCAACTGAGTGAGAAATCTATCCTTTAATCTATCTATCTATCACTCTCCCCTCTTCACTTTCAGGATCAATCTCAGTGAATCTGTGATGGGCTTCCTTCAGTCTATCTAGGAATTTACCAGGAGCTTCCTTCTCTTCCTGTTCTGTTTGCCAATTTGGCAGTTTAAAGTCTTAGCACGCGTTTGCCTGAGTCCTTCGAGAACACATCGGACAAAATGACTCTGATCCCATCTTCCTTCAGCCGTGTTATAGTCCCAGTCTGGTTCTATAGTTGGGACCACCTGATTCCCAGTAAGGAGGGCAGCTATCTCGTCCTCCCTCTTCCCTACTGATTCATTACCAAGCTGTTATCTCCAAAGCAACAGTTTTCCCCAAAACTCAAGTTTTTGAGTGGGGAGTTAGTGTTTGTCCCAGAACATACATCAGTTCAGTTCAGTCACTCAGTCATGTTCAACTCTTTGTGACCTCATGGACCACAGCACATCAGGCCTCCCTGTCCATCACCAACTTCCAAACTTTACTCAAACTCATGCCCATCGAGTCGGTGATGCCATCTAACCATCTCATCCTCTGCCATCCCCTTCTCCTCTCACCTTCAATCTTTCCCAGCATCAGGGGCTTTTCAAATGAGTCAGTTCTTCGCATCAGGTGGCCAAGAGTTTCAGCTTCGACATCAGTCCTTCCAATGAATATTCAGGACTAATTTTCTTTAGGATGGACTGGTTGGATCTTCTTGCAGTCCAAGGGACTCTCAAGAGTCTTCTCAAATACCACAGTTCAAAAGCATCAATTCTTCAGCACTCAGCTTTTTTTATAGTCCAACTCTCACATCCATACATGACTACTGGAAAAACCATAGCCTTGACTAGTCGGACCTTTCTTGCCAAAGTAATGTCTCGGCTTTTTAGTATGCTGTCTAGGTGGGTCATAACTTTTCTCCCAAGGAGTGTCTTTTAATTTCATGAGAATTAAAAGCATGAGAATTATTTGGAGCTAATTAATTTTCTTAGAGGACACATGATCATCTCTGAAACCCAGGTCAACATGGCTCTTCTGTGAGTCACACTGACAAGAGAAATCTCATTTCAAAGGAAGTTTCTCTCTATACCAGATAGAAGGAAGACAGTCTTGAGAAACTCTTTATCAATAGGAAAGGCTAAGATGTAAATCTGCACAACAACCATACCCTTCTTTCCTTTTATTTGTTTGTTTATTTGGCTGCGCCGAGCTGACCTTCATTTAGTCAAGCCAGATATTTAGCTGCAACATGCAAACTCTTAGCTGTGGCATGGGGGATCTAGTTCCTTGACCAAGGATTGAACCTGGGCACACTTCTTTACGAGGGCAATGCCTTAGACACTGAATGGTTTCTCCAAAGAACACACAAGGTACACATGTTACTAAACTGGTTTGTACAAGTCAATTAGTTCATACTACAACACTGTATGTTTACAATGATTTAAATGGCAAATGGCATGTTATTTATTTTTAATTACAATGGGAAAAAAGAATGTAGTATTGATACATGTTACAACATGAATAAACATTACAAACATTTTTAGTGAAAAAAATTCCATACAGAAAAGGCCACTCTGATCGCATATTCACCTTGTCTGCTTTAAGTCCACCAAGGTTGTCCAAATGACCAAAAATCTCAGTAACACTCCAAACAAAAACTAGATGAGGACGGGAAAAAAGATATATTCATACAACTGGGACACTGCTGAAAGTGGAAGTAGGCCTGTGAATTACATTATAATGTGGAAACCATATGATTTCCTGATTTCGGTGGTTATGTGCTGGTTCCGCAGAAGAAAGCGTTCATTTTGGATAAAACACATGGAGTATTTTAGGTGATGTGGTAAATGGGAGTACTTTTTACCATTATTAGGAGCTTTCTCTACATTCTAGATTACTGGAAAGTAAATTATTTTTCAAAACAACCACGTCAATACACAAAAGAAAATCAGGTAAGACAGGCATGAAACTTTCTTATAGAGGCCAAGACTTACCGGATCAAGTTCAAGGGAAGCTGTGATACTCACTGTCCTTGCAGGAGTATGGCATGAAGAAGCACCGTGGAAAGAGTCCATTAGTAGCCACTATGTCTTAGGTCCTCTGGATGACCTACTGCAGGAGAAACAGATTTTACAAATAAAATTTTCTACATAACTTCATAAAAAGGTGTTAGAATACATTCAGTAAAGTTGAATAACTTGAAATTAATATACAAAAATCAGTTGTGTTTCTATACACTACTGACAATCAGAAAAAAATTAAGAAAATCCCACTTATAATTGCATCAAAAAGAATAAAACATCTAGCAACAAATTTAACCAAGGACATAAAAGACCACTAGTCTATTTCCATATGATAGAAACTAGATAACTAGAAAGCACTGATAAACCAAAGAAAACACAAATATATTTATTCCACACTCAAGCACTGGAACAATGAGTAATTAGAATGCCCATTCCAACCAAAGCCATCAGCAAATGCACTGCAATCACAAAAAAATATCCAATGGCATTTTTCATAGAAATAGAAATATTCCTAATATTAGTCTGTAACAACTAAGGACCTTGAAAAGCCAAAAAGACTGAGAAAAAGAACACACCTGGTAGCATCTTCCTCTCCGACTTCAAACTACATCACGGAGCTGTAGTAACCACAACAGTGAGGATCTCGCACGAACACAGACACATGGACTCGAGGAAAGAACAGAGAGCCCAGGAACGAACCCGCATGTACATGGTCAGTTCATGAAAATCAAACCAGGAACATGCCAAGAGGAAAGGACAGTCTTCTCAAGAAACAGTGACAGGAAAACTGGCCACCTACACTAAAGAACATCACTGGTCATCCTCTAGATCATCTAACAGAAATTTAACTAAAAACCCACCATTTGGCACATGGACCGCTTTCCCCCCTGAGTCCGCTGAGATGGACCTCCGGTCAGCGTTCACCTGGACACAGGAAACGTCTACTTCGTCCTCATTTTTCCCTCCTGCAGCGCCTCCCTGCTGGCGGGCACTGAGGCAAGCCCGCTCCTCTCAGCCTGGAAGCAGCCCCGTTATCCAGAAGCCCGAGCCCTGACGGCCCTGAGCCAGCTGGTCACCCAGCCCAGTCTGAAGGCAGAGCGTCCTGCGCCCGCGGGTCAGAGGGGGCTTTGGCGCCCCCTGCGGGCCGCCGGAGAAGAGCTGGCAGCCCCGCACTCACACAGCCCAGAGGGCTCCCCCAGAAGCAGCTCTGCGGGAGCGCCCAGACTGGAAGCCCAAACCCAAATGGAGCAGAAGAGCTCCACGACCCTCCTCAAAACACGGTGAGGAACAGTCAGAGCCTGCACGGAATGCGGCCACAAAAAGGATCACATTTGAGGCACTTCTGATGAAGTGGATGAACCTAGAGCAAAACGAATATCATACATTAGCATATATATGGAATCTAGAAGGCTGGTACTGACGAATCTGTTTGCAGATTAGCAATGGAGACGCAGACAGAGGCGACAGACTTACGGACAAGGCTGGGGCACAAGAGGGAGTGGGGGAGGGGGGTGAATGGAGAGCAACATGTGCATCAACATGGGTGAGAAAGACAGCCAACAGGAACCTGCTGTGCCACTCAGGGCGGACACTGGGGCTCTGTGATGACCCAGAGGCGGGACTGGGCGGGAGGGGGGAGGGAGAATCAAGAGGGAGAGGACATATGTGCACCTACGGTTAAGTCATGTGGATGTATGCCAGAAATCAAACCAATACTGTAAAGCAATCATCAGTCAATTAAAAATAAATAAATTTTCTGTATGGCTCAGGAAACTCAAACAGGGGCTCTGTATCAACCCAGAGGGGTGGAATGGGGAGGGAGATGCAAGAGAGGTTCAAAAAGGAGGGGATATATGTGTACCTCTGGCTGATTCATATTGAGGTTTGACAGAAAACAGCAAAATTCTGTAAAGCAATTATCCTTCAACTAAAACAAATAAATTTTTAAAAAATAAAAAAGTAAATGTTTAAAAAAAATATGGAATGAAATGAACATAAACACAAACTCTGCAACTGACATCATAATTAAAAAACTATAAAAATTTTAGAAAACAACAAAAGATCTACATGACCTGTGGTTTGGTGATGAGTTCCAACACACAACCAAAAAAGCCAACTTACCAAATTTTTAATATAAATTAATTAAAACATGACTTTTAAAAATGTATACCTTTACTTGGTGAAGGACCTTATTCAAGAAAACCAAAAGACAAACTGTTAAGGGAACCACTGACCACCCACCATTGCCAGGCTCCAGAGAAACCACTGGCAGGAGTCATCCTGCAGCAGGAGGTCCTGGTGAGGAACCAGGAACTCACAAGCTGCCACCAACCAGGATTCTGGAGCGGTCAGAAGGAGATGCGAGACTCCAGTCCAGAGGTCCTACCAACTTTCCAGGATCCTCCTCACTGGAATCCATCTCGGCTGAGTGACGCGTGTGCCCCCAGGAAGGATCCCAATTCAGAATGACTGGCAAGAGACAAACCAGAAACTAACCCAATGACCATAAAACCTGAGACTGTGAGGCACGTGGCAGAGCAGTTCTCTCCATTCCCCTCACCCCCTGCCCTCCGCCCCGGCAGCCCTTCCCAATAAAGCCTCTCACTTGGACAGCACTCCTCTCCTCGAACAACTCACTTCCAAGTGTCAGACAAGAACCCACTCTCAAGCCCTGGAAGGGATCCCCCTTCCTCCATCAAAACCAATATCCAGAAGAAATATCTTCAAAATGCTATCTTGTAGAGAAGGAAATGGCACCCCCTCCAGTATTCTGGCCTCAGAAATCCCAGGGACGGAGGAGCTTGGTGGGCTACAGTCCAACAGCAGGGCATTTCTGAGGGGAGGAAACAGTCCCAGGAAAGTTGAGGCACTCGCTAAAAGCCCCAGAGCTTTTGATGGCACAGCCAGAACTGCAGCTGAGGATTCCCAGCTGCCAGGCCTCTTGATCCTGGCCTTTCTCACCAGATACATGTGTGGAAAACTAGAATTGAAAATATGCCCTGGTGGCTCCGTGGTAAAGAATCCGCCCCAGTGCTGGAGATGCAGGTGTGATCCCTGGGATGGGAAGATCCCACATGCTATGGAGCCCGTGTGCCACAACTGCGGAGCCTGTGCGCTAGAGCCTGGAAGCCCCAGCGCTGAGCTGGCATACTGCAGCTACTGAAGCCCGGGAGCCTGTGCCCCACAACAAGAGGAGCCGCTGCAGTGAGAAGCCTGCACACCACTGGTTACGGCCCATGCTCACCCAAACTAGGGAAATGCCCACACACGAAGACCCAACACAGCCAAAAATAAATACAATCGTTTTCCTAAAAAAAATGCATATCTGACAAAGAATCTGTACTCAAACTGTCCAAGAACTCTAGAGCAAACAAACCCAGTAATAATTGGTAAAGATTGAAACAGATACCTGGCCACAGAAGGTATACTGATAGTAAACAATCATACAAAAACATACTCAAGATGCTGGTGGAATACATGCAGAGCGTGCAAAGGTGCCTAAATGGAGAGCAGGGAGACCCAGTTAAGAGAAGGGACTCAGGATCAGGAAAGGAAGTGAGGGAAGGAGGCTCCTCGTCATATTCAGAAAAGCCCAGCCAGAGAGTTCTGCAGGCGGAAGAGGAGGAAGCAGGCTGGAGCTGTGTACAGGATGAAAGGGGGAACTAAAGCAGGGGCCCCCAACCTCCAGGATCTAATGCCTGCTGATCTGCAGTGGAATTGGTGTAATAATAATAGAAATAAAGTGCACAAGAAATATAATTCACTTGAATCATCCCAAAGCCTTCCTCCACCCCTGTCCGTCAAAAAATTGTCTTCCACAAAAACGCCTGAAGTCAAGGAAGGAACTTCAAGTGTGCTCAGCTGCCCCAGGTTGCTGGCTTAGGGAGATGACGAAGCAGGGGTGTCCCAACAGGGAGGACCCCCCTTGCGAGAGGCCCTCAACAGACCTCCGACAGCCTTGGCTATGATGGGAGAGGCTGGTTCCATTTTTTAAATGTCCGTGTGGAATCAAAAAAGAAATCAAAATATGCATAGAAATGAATGAAAATGAAAACACAACAACCCAAAACCTATGGGACACTGTAAAAGCAGTGCTAAGGGGAAGATTCATAGCATTACAGGCCTATCTCAATAAACAAGAAAAAAGTCAAATAAATAACCTAACTCTACACCTAAAGCAACTAGAGGAGGAAGAAATGAAGAACCCCAGGGTTAGTAGAAGGAAAGAAATCTTAAAAATTAGGGCAGAAATAAATGCAAAAGAAACTAAAGAGATCATAGCAAAAATTAACAAAGCTAAAAGCTGGTTTTTTGAAAAAATAAACAAAATTGACAAACCATTAGCAAGACTCATTAAGAAACAAAGGGAGAAGAACCAAATTAACAAAATTAGAAACGAAAATGGAGAGATCATAAATGTCCGTGTGGGTTAAACTTAAAACCTAGCAATTCTACTACAGTCCTCATATAAGTTTTCTTTAATGATCTGTGAAGTACCAACTGTGAAGACCACTGTTCTAATAGACCTCATAGTGTTGCTGACCCTTCCATGGATATAATTATGTGAAACTGAACTTATTCAATAAAAACTATGAGGCATCTGCCCTGTGCCCAGCACTCTCCCAAGGTTGGGGATGCAGTGAAAATACTCCGTAAGATGCACAGCTGGTAGGCACATTCTTTAAAAAAGCCGTTTACCTTTTCACCCATAGTTTATCCTCAATGTCAACACTTGCTGATTAAAGACCATGCTGTGTAGAAAGTTCATCAAAAACCCAGGAGCCAGGGTTCCTGGAAGGATATCCCATTCTCCCTTGGACAGTCCTCCACCCTCTCTGGGTCTGCTTCCTCTTCTGTAAAAACATGAACATCTGACTATAATTCATTCCTGGAAACCAAGCCTATTGAGGGAGAGGGGAAATATCACCCAGGCCTACTCTAAGGCCTGCAGTGATGGGCCAGATTTAAAGATGTCCTCACTGGTTTTCAGTTAGACAGACAGATACAATGCCGGAAGGAGCCCCTGGCCCTGTGGGATTGGCCTGGGAAACTTGCCTAGGAAATTCTTACTCATCAGGAGATAGCTCT